AGAAATCATTGGTTTAAGAAATTGAGCCCCTCGGACAGCCGTTCGACCAAAAAAACAAAAACATTGCAACTTGAAAATGAGAAATCCAGGGTACCCTGACCTCTGCGTGCCAATTTCTCATTTTACTCTTCTAGTTTTGTTTTCGCTGGTTGTTGCGCAAAAAACAGAACCAAGAAACTAAGGGACTAGATTTGCTATTGCAGAAGCTGGGCACATGGAAAGGCATCCACGGTCTTGGCCCAGGCTTTTGCCAAAGCTGTAAGTAGGGCTTAATGGAATCATTAGCTGGGCACATGGCAAGACACCGGCGGGATTGGAGCCCACTGCCTTTTACCAACAAGCCTTGTGCTTGCCAACTGAGCTACAGCTACCTTCCGGAATTTTGGACATCCGACAACGGCTCAATCTCTTCCGCCGTCCAGAACCCTCAAAATACGAAACAGAGGGGCTCAATTTGGGCGGGGGGAGGGGATTCTGGGCTGGCCTAAAACGGGCTCAGTCAGGCTCTGCAGCCTGTAAGGGCTTAAGAAGGGCTTAATACGGCTTTACCATGTAGAAAAAACAACAACGACAAGAACTTGCAGGGCTCGATATCTTAATTTCAAGAAATTGAGGGGCTCAATTTAATTCAATTTCTTATTTTGGGGTTTCTGCAAGGGCTGAATACAGGCAGTATGAGGTATGAACATGGATTGAAATAAGCCTGAAGGATGCCATGCCCGAGTGGACAAGCGCAGAATGGAAGTTACTGCGGGCTCAAATCTCTCAGCCTCCTTGAGTTCTTTTAATTCTTCGTGGCTGGTCAGTTTTGGAGCCCTTTGAAAATTAAAAATGGGGTAAGAAATCCAGGGTACCCTCAAATCCCGAAACGTTCTTGTTGCTAAAATAGTGCGCTCCAAGATTAAGAAAGCGAGCCCCTCTAACGAAAAAGTAACTGTTTCTTAACCTGCGGTGTCGCTGTAGATTACAAGTTCTTGTGTTGGGCATTCCGGAGTTCACGCGCCGAAGTGCAATTCCTTGTCAATGGATCGTTACATCTCCGTTTAATCTTCCCAAGCGTGCGAAGCACGTGAGAGCCTGCATGTCGTTGACCATCAGCAGAATGTCTCCCTTAGCAGCTGTCGGAGTCTGTCAAGACATGAAGAGACGTCGTGCTGCGACTCAATCGGTGCCGTGAGAGAAAGGCCACCTGTGTGCCAGCCCTGCTGGCTGGACTGCCTGGCACCTGCGAACACGGCTTCTGCGACGCCAAAGACTTGAAAGGAGTCTCAGAGAGGACACTGCACTGACTGCGACTGCAGTCGAGATGCCACAGCTCCGAGCTGCACTGGCCCGGGAGGCCAGGTCTCAGGAATGAGACCCAAAGTGGCCTGCAGAGCGCAACGCTTGTGCCGTGATGTGCTCTGCGTAAGTTTCGGCGTCGAAGTGCCTGATTTGGGCCGAAGGCAAGGTCCACGGTCTTCAGCTGGCCCAGAAGCGGCCTCGAGGCTCCCCCGGCACCTCCAATGCACAAACGTGCCGTGACGTGGCAAGGATAGTGCGGTGCGTGCGGCTCGAAACTATCAGGACCATGTAACTCTTCAACTGGACGAGGCCTTGAACATTATCCGAACTTCGCTGGAAAGTCAGGAGCGTCGGCCTTCAATGGCTGCCACAACTTCCCCACACACCCCGAATCAATCCCGATCATCAGGGCCTCTTCCGCAGCTCACGAGCTAAGTCCTGAAAGAGACGCAGCGAGAGGAGCCTCTGACTCTCAGCCTTTGCTCCTCTGCTTGCTCTGCTGTCCGCGCGGTCCTCCGCGACTTCGAAGGACCGCACGAGGCGGCCGTTGACCCCGCAGAGCTCATCTCCTCGCCGCACCCCCCCGCGAGCTGCCTGAAGCGAAGCGCAAAGCGAAGCAATAAGCGATGCGATATATGCGATAAGCGAAGCCGAAGAAGCTTCATGTCCGAACCGGGGCACGAGGCTGCCAGGCACCGCTGCAGCCAAGAAGACGGCTTGGGGCGGCCATGTCTCCGGAACCAGGCCTTGGATGGCGCTGCCATGCGCTGCCGCCCGATGAACACGGTGAACACGCTGCACAAACGTTTTGGCAGCGGGCCCAGAACCTCATCCGTCACCGAGGCCTCCACCTGCCCAACAGTCCCAACACTTTCCAAGGCCCTGTAATGCCCTGCAGAATCCCTGAACAAGCCAGTCAAATCAACCGAACTTAGGACTTGGACAGCGTACACACAGGCTCCATGGTGTGCACATGTCTCTCTCCGAAACTGCTCTGCGGCAGCAGCTAGCAAAAGACGACAGTCGGCGTATGCCCGAAGAGCTTCACAGTGCATGCGGCTTGCATTGTGCGGTGGCAACCTGCAAGCCTGGAAACGGACCACGCCGACGCTTGGCGCTCGGGGCGAAGCCGGGGTACTGCGACCATGGGATGCATCTGAAATCTCTCTGATGCTGAGGTCGAGGGTAGGCAGCAGCATTGAGGAGTGACAAGTGAGATGAGAGCCCGCCGTGCGGGTATTACGTTAAGGCCACCAAGGACGGGAGCCTGAATACACGTGTGCAAGCAGCTGCAAGACGAGCACCAGAACAGTTCGAAGCTGGGGGTTCGAGATCTCATCTTGCTTGCTGTGCACCCCTCTCCTCGGCTTGCGGAATCGCAGATGCAGTGGCCGGATCTGAAGGACGGATACAAGGTCCTTGCGATCATAGCTTGGCTGGACGATGCGGCTCAGATGAGCGGTTAGTGCTGCCTTCCTTAGTTTAAATAGGGCTATACGCAATGCCACGCCTGACGGGACAATGCGTCGACGGTGGCTCCATTCACTGTGAGGAGGATGCTTCCGGTCTGGACCTGAGACTTTTAGTAAGTGTTGCAGCGCATCTAACAGCATAGCGTGACAAAGAACCGGAAACGTCTTTTGAGAGCCGTGCAGTTTGAATGGTGAGCGGTGCATCGGGGTGCACTGCATCCACACACATAGGCCTGCAAGGCTACCGCACCAGGCCTTGCATGCCTTCTAAACCACTCCAGATCCTGCTGCAGCAACAGCAACAGACAGGTAGAAAGACAGGTGATACAGTTTTTATCGACAGCGCGCTGCAGCACGTGGTGTTGAGGCTATCTGAGGCAGGAAGCTGCCTGCCCGAAGACAGCGCCAATCCCACAGGCCCTGAGGAGGCCACTGTCACCTGGAAAGCCGAGCTGTGACCCCGAAGAGGCACGCAGAAGGGGCCTCGAATTCGAGAGGGTCCAGCGTGCCAGCCATTTTGCAAGAGGGGCATGGCACAGGTGTTTTTTTTGTAATTCTGGCTGTCCGTGGTGCAAAAGTGGCACAGGTCTTCATATGTGATGCCAGCCCTCACTTTCAACAACAAATTTGCGAAATGAATCTCGCCGAAGCACGGGAAAGAGTCGTCATCAAGCCGATTCGTGAACAGCTTTGTATGTTCACTCTCATGCCCTATCACTCACGCATAACCCAAGAACCTACCGCACATCCTCTACAACCAGGTCGTAAGCAGGCCCAACACTTAATGCCCACGCGATGTCGGGCACCACGACACATCGAGCCCCCTTACGCCTCTGTGTCGTCAGCTTTTTTCTGTTCCAAAAGGAGTGGAGAGCGCTTCAGTCTGTTACACATCAGGTTGCGGATGGCCACTGCGCTTCCCTCGAGAATTCAAGAGGCACAAAGCAAGAGACAGGGCACCCTGCCATCAGATTCTGAGCCAAGCTCATGGCAGTTCTGTGAAGCTGCACGTGCTACTGCTGCTGATGTACTGGTCGGAGCGCAAGATGGCAGGATTCTCCGGGCCGAAATCTTTCCATGGCAAGACTTTCAAACAATCCCGCCAGACGGAAAGGATTCCAGCCGTGTCACATTTCAGCGCAATTGGGACGGGGCCTTTTCGAACTAGACTTGTCAAATGCCAAACTCTGAAGATGTCGGTGACCTCGGGACCCCGTCCCACACAAGGCTCCTGGGCGTCGGTCCTGCCAACCTTCAGAGGCACTCACATGGCCGAGGCAACGGTAAGGTTGCAAGCTCACATGCCCCCAATGAAGCGGGCAAATCTGGCATGGGCGCCGAAGATCTTGCTGAAATCCTCCTGTGTCGCAACAACTGTAAGGACAACCGGGGGGCCCGTGCTTGAGTCGGTGAGACCTGCAGATTGCCCATCGCAGCAGTCGCCTTTAGCAACATTAAAAAAACTTAAGTTCCCACAGAAATCGTTTTATGCTTTTTCTGTCCTGGTGCAACTCCTTGCGCAACTCCATGACGACCTGCTAGAGCTGTTGCATGCAGGGAACCCCATAACCCTGCTCGCTTCATCTCGCTTCTCTCCATTCGACGGCCTACCTACCTTCCTACTTGAGGCACTGTGATCCTTCCAACGAGATGAATGAGTGTAACTTCTTTGCAGAGCTCGACTTGTTCGGTCCCAAACAAGCCTCTGTCTCCGTCTTGGCTCTGCCTTTCTTCTCCTGTACGACTTCCAGCTCCTGCAATCTCTCTGGCCGCCATAGTATCGCAGCAGCTGCTGACTCAGAGTGCTAGGGATAGACTTCTGAAAGTGTCCTGGCTCAATCGCTCGAAAGCCTCACCGATTCTTGTGGCACGTTGGAGGTGTTCCTGCAAGTGGGATGCGTTGAGCACTGAGTTTGCACGAGTGCCGGCGTACACCTGTCAAAGGCCATCTGGCTCACCGCCAATGTTCTACAGCGCAGCGATGCCAAAGGGTAACATCTGAATCTTAGTCTAATGCTAAGTCACATGCAGGTTTTGTCGTCATTCATTCTGGTGTCCTTGGCTTCACTGATCTCGCCGGCCTGTGCAGGCAGAGAAATTCGTGGATCGACTACGTGCAGCAGTTTGCTGCTGGCCAAGCCTCCATGAGCATGAAGGCTTTGCGGGTGAGTTCATCCTTGCAGTGTGTAAGAGGTGTGCCCGAAATGCAACTCGCGCGAGGGTCACAGGAGTCTCGGCATGTGACGATCATATCAGCACGCTCGACCGACGTCATCCCGACCAGGTCTGAAAGAAAGGCCTGCGCGCAAGGCTGGAACCACTGCACAAGCACCGTGAAGTAGCCTCGCTATGCCACCTGCCTCATCCATCCCGTTGACCTCCGCTGCCACCTGCTTGCGCTTACTCAGGTGACCCACCGAAATAGTCAGATCATACTAGTGGGCCCACTTTGCGGGGATGTAGCGTAAACTGAATGGGATCTCGTGGTGCCAGCCTCGCTGATGAGTTCTTTCGGATCTCTCGTCTCGTCTTCCTTCTCGTCAGTGTTGCGCACAACCCAGCGCTCCTGGTCACACTCTTGCTTCAGCTGGAGAATCCCAAAATCGGTCGTGGTCATCAGTGAAAACCGGTCAGCCCGGTGTGACCTGCTTCGCCTACGCATTGGCTCTGAAGGTGTATCCTTGACACGCTCGCGGCCATTCTTCACAGTGATTCTCGAAAGGCGGCCCAAGTCTTCACCCACCTCAGAAGGCAGCACGTCGTAGTGCGCTGTTTCGTGTTGGGAGCAAGCTCAATGATCATGTATATGGATTATGTACTTCTTCTATGTGAACTTGAAGTGTATGTGTGCATACCTGATCTGTGTGCATGCATGCTTGTATCACTGTGGTACCAACGGGTGGATAGGCAGGGGCGAGGCACAACCATGATCGTACAACTGTTACACCGGAATTTCACGGTTTGTTTGGTTACGACTGCAATCGCAACTTCTTCGCGCAGGCAGCAGGTGGAACGTCTCGCAGCATGGTTGGCGGTCCAACGAAGAGGGACATGTTTGCGGTTGATTTGGATGGAGGACACTGCGCAGGGATGGGAGGCGAGTCAGCCGCAAGAGTCGAGAACAAGCAGGAGACAGTCAGGAACGGAGAGGGAGCGGGAGGCAGCAACAGCAGGAGGCAGAGTCGGGAGCAGCGGCGGCACAGTCAGGAACAGAACAAAGGTTGATTCCGGAACAGACAGGGTTAAGTGTAATGCTTAAAATTGTTGAATGCATCTTTAAGATTTGCAAGCCTGAATAATGTTATACCGGGTTACGGATTGACAGATTTATATAAGCCTATCGCGTGTTGTTTAGGGAGACGGGCTTAGAGTTAAGAAATGGATACGGTGTTTACAACTTACGATAGTCGACTGATGTTCCGGCAAAACGATTCCCGTAGAGGCACCTGGCTATCTGGGATCTCGGTCGTGTACCAGTTAACCAGTTTTGTATGGTAGCACCACGGGCATGATGGAAGGCCATACACCCCACATCGATTGAAAAAGGGTGTTGCTTGATCCCATCCTACTGTGTGCTTTGAACCTGCTTATGTGAAGCACTGCCGTTGCAACATCAAGTGTTCGAGAAACGTCGGGGCCCACGAGACAGCGACGGGCCGTGTTGTGCATTGGACTTTGGACTGCAAGTGCATCGGGCTTACAAAGGAAGACCAATCCTGCTGCTGATGCTTATACAATAGTGTTTACAAAGAAGCTGATAGCGATAGCCACAAGGATGCTCAGAGAAATTCGACGTTTCGGGTGTACGGTTTATGGAGCTTGTACTGCTTCTAAGATCTATCGAGTTGGGGCGTTGAGCATCTGACATAAGGCGCATGCAACCACCGCCACTGTTTCCTCTACAACGGTGTCTCGGCGACCTGTCACATTCAGACTCGATCACGTACCCGGTCCGTTTGTGACCTCCAATCACCCACAGACCGGATCGGTCCAGACGTGTTCGCTGAGTCCAATCCACTTGCCCACCCCAGAGGCGAACTTGAGAATGATGTCGTGGGCTTTCCTTCCATTGCCTCTCCCTCGGAGCTCCTTCTGGTAAAACTCGGTATCGGCTGGAAGAGCTTCTTGTGGGCCGTGAAGAGTGATCGCCTGAAAGTTTTTTGCCACGCTCGCAGGTGGTAGCTCGAGGTTAGGCTAGGTGCTCGAACACAGCCGGCAACAGCAGCAGGGCCACCGCTCGCAGCTGTGTGGCACCTACACCAGGAGGGCGAGGAGGCCGATGGCGAAAACGAGAGCCATGATCCAACCGACGGCAGGCCAGTAATTGCCGAAGCAAAGAAGCCCCATGTCATCCATGGCGAAGCCGCCCCAGCCCCCTTCAGTGCGCAGCGCACCCGAGGTTGTGGGTGTAGAAAGCAGGCCGGCGACCATCCGAAGATCATCCGAAAATTCAATTCGCTCCAAAGGAATGAGAAGAATCGACGTCCCGGGTGGAGCACCCTCAAAAGGTACCTCTGCCGAAGTCGAAGGAGTGTGCACTGGTGGCGGTTTCACCTTGGGTTGGTCCAACCACCTGGGGAGTTAGCCGTCCACAACCGTTGCAAAGACGAGGAGATAGCCAGCAACCACGCCAACGGCATTCGGTTCCATGGCGATTCCAGTTGCAGAAGAAAGGCTTGAGCCGAGCTTATCTCTAATATGCAAATCCACACACGCTCCGGAATGTGCATGTCTTGTCGGGTTTGTGTCCTTGCTTTCAGCCATCGGCAAGCAAACAAAAACCAGTTTTCCAAAATTTTCTCGCTTTGTTTGCAAAAGGGTTTGGAGCTCATTTCGTGTTCTCAAGTGGTGTCCAAAGATACTGGCATGGTGCTAGGCTATATCAAATTGCAAGCCGCACTTAAGTTCACGGCTGTGAAGCCTGTCCCCATGTCCAGCAAGGTGATATCCTTCAGAGCCCACTTCGGGACTGACGAAAATCATGTCAGGACAGATCCTACACCATCTGCCGTAAGCATAAGCAACAGTCAGTGGAGGAACCAGCCTGCGGGTCGTTGCGCTTTCGCTTCCTTGGGACCCAGGGCTTCTCTCCCGACGCGTTAAAATGGAAAACAGCTTCCTGTGCTATCGCGAAGTTCCAGCACCAGACCAAGACCATGTCGTGGAATTAAGATCCATCAAACTATCTGCATCTGCCTCTACAGTATGAAGTAACCCCCCGAACCTGCTGAAACCTCGTTGTATTGGCTGTCGACCTTCTTTGAGGCGCGTGCGACAGGGCAGGTTCTGATCCTTCCTTCTTCGCGGCCCGCGCTTGAAGACGCGACGTGCGTGTCGAGCGGGTGAACTGCGGAGAACTGGCTTCAGGAGGGGTCTTCCGATGGAAGTTAGTTGTGTCCTTCGGCCTTCGGCCTTCGAGCTCCAGCGGCTTACTGCTTGGGCCTTTGGCATTTGGTTTTCTCAGTGCTTTCGGGCCTTTGCCATCGGAGCCAAGGCAAGGCCGAGAGGTGCAAACCTCGGAAGGAAAGGCAAGGCCGGCATCAAGGCTGCAGGATGCTGCAGGATAACGAAGCAACTCAGGCTGTCGGCAGAAGAGGCTTGCCCGTAGCCCACCATTCGCGCGGAGGGGCAGGCACCTGGAAGCGAAGTGGAGTCGGAGCTCCGACTTAGCAAAGTCCAGACAGGGCCCGTGCCTGTGTCGAAGATGAGTGCAGCAAAACTGGCCTGCTCCGGCGCTATAAATGGCACGAGGCTATGACGAGGCTAACTCAGCAGGACCAATGCCGAGAAGCGATCCGAACAAACCGAGCTCAACTTCAATAAAGATGCCAGGTGTGCCCGTGGGCAGCAGGAGATACAAAGGCGAGGCTGGCCATTGCGCTTTCAGGACTGTCGGGCTCCTGGGGAGGTGTTCGAGCATGCAGTTCTCTTGACAAAAACGCTTCCTGGAGGATGGTGCTTTCTGGCATGAACTACATAGCCCTTGGCCTGCAGGTTCGGACAACACGGCCTATGCTGAATGGCAGTGAGCGAGAACGGATGGTCCAAGTTTGTCTGTGGGGCACTGCGTGTGCTAGCTGGTCAGAGTGCCGGCAAATTTGCGGCTGCCCTGCTTCAACTTTTTCATCCGTTGAGCTGAATTGGTACTTGAAGTTTCCTGCAGGAGCACTTTACGCCTCTGCGCAGCCTTTGGGCTGCACGGTGCAAGCTTTGGAGCTGGCCATGCCCGGGGCATCCCCACTCTACAGCCGCACTTATCCTCACTTCAGCGCTGCTCAGGGGTTCGTCAACAGTGGACGAGTTTCGGACAGTGCAGCCGGACCGGGAGCAGCCCGGAAAGATGCCGAGCGTCCCTGCACCAGAGCCTGGCCAGGGCACAAGCATAAAATGCTGTGCATCTCTGATGGTCTCTGTTTCACCGACTTCCAGATCACCCATGCGACAAGGCAACACCGTGGGCTCGAACAGTGATTAGAATGATGAGACTCTGGCGTGAGCCTCGAAGCCTCTGAAACTGAAAACACTTCGCGCGAACGCTGGGCCCCCCCTTTTTTCCCGTTGCTTCAGAAGGCCAGGAGGTCACAGAGCGGCCCGAACTCGGGGCGCGGAGCCGCCTGCGCTTGCGGGCCGTGAGGGTTTAGGGAGATGGAGGGAGGCTGGGGAGGCTTAGGCTTGGGGGCTTGGGGGCTCGGGGGTTTCGATCTCTGTTGCACTCTAGGACCAGCGGTGTGTTCGGGCTGTCTCCAAGGCTTCAGACGGGAAACAACTATTCACATTTTGCAGGGAGAGACTGGGTTCGACTGAGTGCAGGAATCGATAGCTACGAGCTTCCAGGCGTCCTGATCCTACTGACGTTCTGCATGGAAACACAGCCGTCGCACAGGCAGAAATGCAGCGAGTCTGAAGATGCTTGTTCTTTCGCCCGCTTTGTTCGACGAACTCCGCCGCCCCGCAAATTGCAGCAAGCGATCTGCTCCTGAGGGCCATACCAGGTTGCATGAATTCCGCCAATGTCAGTAAGCAAGAAGGCAGTTCCATGTTCATGGAAGAGCAGCTCGATCGGAACTGTGGACATCTGAGCCAGGTTAACCCGCAGTGTGTCGCGCTGGCCAGTCGGCTCTGCATCGTGGGTCCAGCCTTTCCTTCGCCACACGCCAGTGGCAAGCTGCCCTCCCGGCAAAAAGTTTGCATGGTGGAGTTCTGGTACAGGCTGTCGGTAAACGTAATAGCGCAGGTCCGTGAAGGGGGTTCGCAGTTGTCGGGGCTTCACGGACCTGCAAGCTACTCCTTCTGACAAATTGGTCGTCGTGGGCGACATTGTGTCAGTGTCTCGGTGCCACTGTTGGTACGGCCAGCTGGTCCCGTCCCAGCCGAGACCAAGCCATTGGCAGTCCTGCAGTATGCGCCTTGCAGACAAGGCATTCACTGTCCGCCGGACCCCGTCTTCGCTTCCGTAGTCATGGAAAACCATATACTTGAGATTTGGAAGGTGTCGCAGCGAGTTGTATGCGTCTGATCGCACATAGTGAAGGTCGTGATTCGCATCGATACGGACAACGTCCACCTGGTTGTTGCGAAAAATCGTCCATGTTTGCAGTTGTCTTAGCAGCAACTCTAAGCCACTGCTCACTGAAGTCGACTGCAATGACCTTCTGAAAAATGTTCGCCCAGACAGGCGTGGTGTATCCTTGGTGGACACCTAGCTCCAACACCGTCATGTTGAGAGAACCCAGCTTGCAAAAATACTTCGCCATGTGCAACTTGAACAGCCTTGATGATGTTACTGTATCAATGAACGCTCGGGAGTCTGCGCAATGGCAACCTCTGCATCTGCAATGCATCGCTCTGTCGAACTTGGTGTGGTGCCCGTGGGCACAAGCAGCATGCCAGTCAACACCGCAACGACACCGCAGCACATGGTTTGGAATTCAATCACGACGGTGCTTTACTGTGTTTTACATAAGATCCTGCAGTGCAATCATTGGATCTTGCTTTGCCAGCATCCGTTAGGGGGGATCATTGGGGATCTAATTACGACACATACTGATTTGCGTACCTGTTACACAATCATATAGCCTCAACGTCCATTTTTGTCACTAGGCTTGGCCTGAGGCTAAGGGCAGATCGAGGCAGCACCTGCCACGATCACTCCTGTGCGCATGGAAAGCAAACTCCAGACTGCGATAATCCGATGTGCTCACGCATCTTCAACCTCGACGCTAGGCCGTCTTGGAAATGCTACCAGTGCACCCGTACTCCGATGTACTCCGCAGAAACGACAATCAAAAGATTTGCTCGCCGCCATGTTATGGGAGTTTAGTTAAGGCGGGCCCGGTCGTCCATAACGAAGACGCCGTTGAGACCGTGAAGGCCGGGAACCGTCACCAGGAGCTGCATCGGAAAGCGATGCCTTCTGGCACAGGCTTCATTGGTGCTTCCTTGACTATGCCTCTTAAAGCACTTGTGCAGCAATGTGCAGCATGCAATCATGTGCGCAATACAAGATACTGTATGCGAGCTTTCCGTGCATTTGCTTCGCGGAGCTTTCATCGCCGCTCCGACTCCTGAGGCTTGCACCGCGCTCCAGGGTCCAGCTTTGGCAGGTGGCGCTCCACGCTGAGCAGCTTCGCCGCACCCATCAGCCGGAGGTCGAAGTGCATCTGAGCTCCGGTTTGGGGCAACAACTTCAACGCCGCTCGGCCCTCCGGCCTTTGGCTCCAACTTCTCAGCTGTTCGATTCGTAACCTGCAAAAGATTCAAAGCTCGGCTCGCATAACAAGAACACGTCAGTGGCTCCCATCTCGCAACGCTGCCTCCAGCTCTATAGTGAAAGGGACCTCGACCTTGACTTGGCTGGGGCACTCGACGACCTGCAGGCATGCTATGCTGCTATGAAAGGCCCTCGACGACTTATTTGCCATGAACTGCAACTATCTGCAACTTACTTGGAGTCCTCGGCCACCCAGCGCTAAACTCATGAAGCAACCGGAGCTTGCGCGCGCCTGCAGGTCAAGGCTGGGCACCTGCGCCGTCAGAATGCATGCGTCTCAGAGTCTCAGATCATGGGAGAGCATCGCGTGAAGTAGGCCCCCGTGACCATCAGGTTCACCCAAAAGCAGCTGCGCTGCGCAGCTCGCCTGAACGGCCTTCATGCGAATCTGGTGGCCCTCCAGGCGCCCTGCGGGCCCGTCCGGTACCTTTCAGAGTTTTCCAGTTGACGGCACTTGTCCTTAATCGTCTGTGGTCCTTTTCAGTGGGGTGCACGCCAGGACATCGCAAGCGAGCCGAGAAGCTCCTGTTCTCTGACGGCCGCCTGACGCTTGACAGATGTCGCACATGCATTCTCCGCTCCGCTCGGAGACGCCGAGGTGCCGAGTCGGGAGCATCCTCTTCTGGCCATGCGCTGAAAACGAGGACAAAGCAACCGCGCGGCTTCAGGAGCAGCGGCAGCGCGCTCCCTGATGAAAAGGCGCCATTCCGGGACGAAGCAGGGAAAGGGGCCGAAGTTTCGTGGCTGAGGCCTGTGATGGGATCCTTTTCCAGCTCTGTGACGAGCCGACTCTCGAAGCCAGGTGCGCAGTCCAACTGCCAGGATGTCCTTTTTTGGAGGGTTTCAGGCGTTCGGGAACCTCCGTAAATGTCCTGCAAGCCCAAGGGGCAGGTAGATGCTTCCTTGTGTCGCATTCTCGATGGAGCCTTGGCGTCCGCGCTTGTCAAGGATGGAGATATCAAGAGAGCACTTCTCTAGCAGGTCGGCACAGTGCTCGCATCAGCAGCTACGCCCACTGCAGCTTAATGCAAGGAGCACTCCACGAGAAGTTGCCGATCCTGGCAGCATGCATACAGAAAACTGCATCTGAGGACCACGCAGAATCATGCACTGGTGCCGGTATACATAGCCCTTCACCCAACCAAAACGTGCAGTTGCTGACTACCTTCGGACTTCAACCTTTCGGCTTTACCTGTTTGCTTGCAACGAACTGTAGTTCCTACACTCAAGTATGGATTCAATTTGCCAGTACAGTCTCACGACAGGGTGGCGCCAACTCCAAACCAAACTGATACAGTTGCCGCCAGGATTCAATCTGAATGACGCGATGCGAAACCGCAAATGGCTGCAGCGCTGGGAAGCGATAAGCTCGTCTGAAATGTCCCTGAGCACGGCTAGTCAATGAGGCGTGGAACAGCGGCCGAAATCGAAACTGTCGGCAAGAGGAACACAGTAATGCCTTATGCAGCACTGATGAAGCGGGGACTGACTACAACCCTTGCACTTCCAGCCTGCGGCAGCCCTGTGCATGTCGTCGCGGAAAATGCGAATTCCGCAAACAGCACACGTACGCACATGGAGGTCTTCTGTTGACGCTGCCAGATGCCTCTTGCATTGAGGTTACAGTCTCTGTCAGGCTTCGTCTAGGCCTGCTCGCCCCCGCACGTATATGTGACGAGGCATGCCAAAGCCTGGGCTCACACATCCACCATGCCTTGAATTGCTGACACATTGACATATGCGCTGCGGAATCACAGTCAATCAAAACTTGGTCTTCCCTGGCGCGATGCCTAACTATCTGAGATTATCTGAGCAACGTATGTCCCAGCGTCACGCAGCTCGTGGTGCACGATGGCATCCACAAACTCACCTGAGCCATGGTGAGCTCGAGCCAACGTCTGGCAAACATGGCGCTGCGCAATGCTGTCTTTCAGATTTTCACCCGCGTGGACGGCAGATGTGTGCAGCAATTTTATTTAAACCCGCAGATCGGAACACAAATCCCGCATCTACGCAGGTCTCCACGAGGTCCGAGTCGTTCAAGCGGGAGAGCTGCAGGCGCAGGCGTCGCAGTCGTGCAATGTCGTTTCACGTTGAAGCTGTACACGGCATTGGCCTATGTACGAATTGGCGCCTGCGAAGACAAGGCATGAGAGGAGTCGTTGCAGCACGAGCAGAACATAGCAGACCTCTCGCGTTTGCCATCAGAGCATGGTTTTCGAGCTCAAACCTCCAACGTGAGGCCGGTTGCATCAAGACGGATGCATCGGATGCGGTTCTGAATCACTTCATTACCTTTTTTCTAAGTTCGGTTCCACCGCAGCCAGGCTTTTTCCGGGAGGGTTCACTTCAGAGCTCATTTTCATCACCTTCTTCGGCAGTTCGATTCCATGCTGCTTTGTCCCGTGGACTCGGCTGTGTCAACGATTTGCTTACCCTCTTGCCAGTTCTTGAACCAGCCATTAGCATCCATTAGCTACCAACTCTTCGGGACATCGGACCGCACACGCGGTCCGTCACGCGGTGATCGAACCGGACGGCGAAAGCTGCAACTTGAAACAGTCGGCCTGGTGGCAGTGTCTTTGTCGGAGATGCCTGCGACTTCACAGAGTGTCAAGTTCGCACTATGATGCGCTGTGTCTACTCGCGAGCCCTGATGCGACCGCTATTCCAGTCAATAGGCGCCAGTGTTCAGCAAAGTGAATTTCGACGCACCTGCAGCAGCAGAAAAGGCAGCAAGACTGAGGAGGCTCGACGAGCACGGTGTCAGCTGGTGCGCTTGGGAGCGCTTTGAGTCCAGGAAGCCTATGTCGATCTCCACTCGCATGGCCACATTCTCCACTGTTTGATGGCTGACGTTCAGGACATGCAAATAGCCTGCTGAAAAACGGTAACATTTATGAACTTGGCTTGCTGAGTCATTGCGGGCTGCCGTATCCACCAGTGCCTGTGAATGGCTCACCCACAAGCGATTGCTGGAGAGCCTTGGAAACGCTGCAGCTCCAGCCCGTGCCAGGGATTCTTACATTCCGAATTCAGAGTGTTGACTTTGCATCTAGGGAGCCATCGGAACCAGTGCTTTGGGCACGTCGAGACCTTGGAAACACCGGACGAGATCAGGGCTCACCATGCAAACACAAGATCAGTACTTATTCTGATATATAGCTAGTGATGGCGCTGCTAGTTGCTGTGGTCACAGACATCTACATGATCGATGCGTGATTGCACAGCTAACTGCAGGGCTATCATGGGCTATACCATCCCTGCCTTGAAGCGGCAGCGGGGGAGCTGTCCCCGGCTGGCGAAGCCGCATGACCTCGGGCGATGCCAGATCGCAGCAGTCTCAAAAACCATGCAAGCGGCGCGAGATTGAACGTTTGAAAGGTCCCAGATGCTTTCAGGATCAGCGGTTCGGGCTGCTGCATAGCGGCAACTCTCCAGGGTGCTGATGCTGCCAGTGTCTTCGGACAAGTCTTATCTGTCCTATCTACGCCACTTGGGCCACATGGTGGACTTGTGCAAAGCAGCTCACGTTGTTGTCTCTGAACCTAACATTAAATGGATGAAGACTGTGGCACGGCTTTATGTTACTGGATTTACTGGTACATGCCTATCCCAGCTTCGTGGCCGTGGATGTATGGCTGGCGACAGGCTGCGAGGCTGCGCTAGCCTCAACTTTGAGCCAAGAATGGTTCTGGCACATATCGACACAGCATCATCAAGGCTGCTGTGTATGTGGCCAGCACATCTCCATGACAAACTCAACTCCAAAATGCCCTGAAACCTCAGCTTCCCGGAATCTCCATGCTCCGACAACCTGGCCTTCCGGGTGTAGTGTCGAGCAGTCAGAAGGGCTGCGAAGGAGCAAAGGCTGACGCCGAGCCAGGAGTAGTAGAGGAACAGTATCTGGCGCAAACGCTTCGCGGCTGAAAACCCGCGCTTCGGAGCTTTTCTCTAACGCAGGGGCCTCGCACACCAGGTGTTTTCTTCTTCTGGGCCGTTTATGCGATCTGCTTTTGTCAGACTCCAAGGCTGCATTTGCGAACATTTGCAGCAGAGATTTCACCAGCATTCTCCACAGCACACGCGAACAAGCCGAGCACAAGGATTCAACTACATGCAGTTTATGCTTGCACCTGGCATGTATGAGGAAACACAAAGCAAGGCAAAGGCGAGGTATTGTTGCCAACATGCCCCGGATGGAGTTCGACGAGCGCTCAGCCCATTGCTCAGCCCGGCCTGTCCGAGTTGAGATCCCAGGAACTGGGCAGCGCCTCCGCAAAGAAGGCCCCAGGCCTCTCAGCAATGACTCAGCAACTCCAGGATTTCCAGACATTACTCAAAACATATGCCCGCTCGGATCATTGATCCAAGGTGCCAGGCGCATACCAACATCTGCCAAATGGGGAGCCTTCCAAATGCTTAATCAGACATGCAACAATTCTGCAAAAAGCAATATCTTTTCCGCAAGTCTTTTCAGTCGTGGCCGCGGCCTTTTCTGACATATCTGCGGAGAGCAGCGCTCCCAGGACCGCACTGCAGCTAGCAGTGGCCAAGCCCGTGATGAGCGTCACCTGCAGCTCGGGTGCACGGCCTCTGCAGCTTGGAGCAGAGCCTCGCGACAGCCAAGGTCGGAACGTGAAGGGTCGACGTCAACTCCAACATCGCCTCAGAAGGTTCGCTTCTAGTGCTGGATCTGCAAGCCGAGACGAGTGCAAGTTTCGCTCCGGCGTCGCCGGTAGAACATGGTAGAACCCACAAGTGCAGAAGGGGATGGACTGGGATGGAACTGGGATAGAGTAGCCATGGTATCCCCCTACGCAGTTTACGCTCGAATCACAGGGGCAGGAGGGGGAGTTGGATGCAAGACAGTACAGTATTGCTTCTGCTTTCCTGATGAGGCGCTATGCAAGGAGGGGATGGACGCAAACTGTCCGTTCTGGCCAGATCGACCCACCGGAAACCAAGGCGTGCAATCCTTTTCTGCAGTACACAGAATATCGAGTTTTGTGCCTCGGCAAAACGTGAAACACTGCTCGGTTCTGAAAGTCTCTGCCTTTGTAACATGTTTCGTAATCTCGCGAGGCGTCTTGAGATGCTCGACCCTCTCTGCAAAGTCACAGTGCCGCTGAAAAGACAACAGCCGGCTACAGGACATGATGATGTGCCGAAATGGCAGACAAGCTGGGAGCTGAACAAACATCGCAGCTGCGGCACCGAGGGCCAGGGAGGGCAAGAAGAACAGATCCAAACCTGAGCTGTTGCTGATTCATGCTGATGATGCTGATGCCCGCCTGGTCAGCGCCTGCTTCCGAGCAGTGCCACGTGAGATTAGTCGTCTACATCTGATCGCCCTCAGTAATTGTACACTCCAAGAAGCATTCCATGCAGCGAGTTTTGTCCTGCCAGATCTCGTTCAGCAGTGGCACCTGTGCAGCACCATCCCCCAATTCCCGACACATGCTTCTCGGATCTATCTCGGCCGGCATGAACCCAGCCGCCCTCATCGTCGAAGAGTCTACGCCTGGCTGAGTTCACGGCCACGACGGCGTAGGACACGACACCGACGACGTCAAACCAAAACACGGCGAAACCTTTTCGAAACCTCAGCGTGCGTGCACTAGCCATCGTCAAGTCCTGAACAATGCACTTTCTCTTGGGCGCCCGCGGTGTGTACGCAAAGAAATCCACAGCAGGCAAAGGCCTGCGCTGTGCTGCGAATGCCAAGGCAAAGGAAAGTGACCTGCGCTGAGGCTTTCACGCCGGGCCCATGATCAACATCAAACCTGTACGTTATGCACCAAGTATCACGGCATTCCAGACTCACATGGGGCTCCAGACTCACATAAGGCTCCAGGCCAAAAAGTGCGGCCGATCTTGCAGCAAGATGCCTCAGCAAGCAGACCGACTCAACCGCCACCAAGACACGACGTTCCAGAGATCCTGCTCCACTTAGATGTTGCTGCGTCGTGCAATGAAGCTTAAATGAATGACTTTAACATGACGACGCACTAAGTCACACGCCTGCAGGTACACCAGAAGGTACACTAGAATCACCAGAGTGACCGACTCTGACTGCACCGGCTGGCAGCTTCGTAGTGGTGCTGCACTACGGAGAAACCGGAAGATGCAAGAGAAGTAACTGGTGTCCGTTGGTGGGCTGTGCACCTGGGCTCCAAGCGAGGTGCAGTCCGTGAAGCCTTGGAGGAGTCGCTCCAGCTCGGCGGCCAGGAAAGTTTTGACTTGAGAGCACCTTGGTAGCAGTTTCGGTGAGGATTTCATGTTGGAATGTATATGGCTGCAAGATACCACAAACCAAGCACCGAACATTTGCCGCGCTTTCTGTCGCTGGTAGTACTGTGTCGGGTGCTCGTCCTGGGCTTTGGCGACATTCGGCTGCAATCATGGCAGAACTATTTTGCAGCGAAATCCCTCTAGCAGATGTCCTCATGAGCCGCATGCTCGTGATGCTCGCCCAGCTTGTCCCCATTGATCCGAACGGCGAAGATGTTCAGCATCACCTCAGCTACAAGGATTGACATTGGAACAGTGCCGAGGGCTTTTGCTCCAAGATTTGGAGGCTCCCACATGAATCCAGCCACACTAGTTAAGCTGCAATCCAGTCTGTTTGTCTCTGATGCTGGTCAGTGACACGCTAGACTTTGACGTGCGTAACCATACCGATACACACTGCTACGGAGCTAGAAAAACGCAGGATGTTGATGGCGCATGCAACTCATCAAGGGTATCACCAGCTTGATGACCAAGACCTTCAAGACAACCTGGCATTCTTCGGAAGGACAACAGCAATATCGACTTCACAGCAGAAGTCCGTGATTTTAATCCGCATATTGATGTGAAGGGCAGCCGATTGCTCTGCGGTTGCTAGCAATCCAGCATAATCCAGCAAAGTATATATGAAAGCTGTCAGCCGTATGATGCAATGAAATTCATTTAAGCCTAATGGGCGAATGGGGCAAGCAAGGTGCTGCTCCTTTTGCCAGACACACAGAGTGACATAAGACTGAAACTTTGAGACGGAGAACGGCCACGGAGCATACTCAGAAGGCAAGTTTGTATGGGCCTGCAACACGACGCTCAGCTTCTTGGACGAGGTGTTGTACTTCATTCTCGGGATGGACAGCTCCGAAGTATGATGCTAGAAAGAATCTCCAACATCATGTCTTTGGGTATGCGGGGGCATGAGGCGGGCAGACTGGTACACAAAACAACAAAACCACGACCAACAACAACAACAACAGCAACGACAGCAACCGCGACATCGACAACGACAAAGGCAACAACAACACAACGACCACGACCACGACCACCACGACCACCATCACCGGTGCCACCAACTAGCCAGGATACTGATGCGGGTCAGCGACCAGGTTAGTAGCGACTCAACCAGCCAAAGCAAGCTCAGAACTAACTGGAAGATGATATGCCGCCCCCAGTAAGAATACACTGCCAGGTCACGTAATGCCACTCAAGCAATAGGAAGACACCACCCAACAGAAAGCACTGTTTCACGTCTAACGGAAGCAGCGATGACCAGTGTGCGTTGCTATCAGATCAGTCAGAGCCTGAGCCGCTATGCGCTGTGCCAAGTATCGCCACCCTCCGTGGACTGCTAACCCAGCAACCCCAGTGACGGCCACCTGGAATCCAGCACGGTCCATTCAAAGAATGCCTGAACCAACCTTTTGAAAGGCTTGAGCAAAATGGCAACCAGAGGTTGCAGTAACTAGATGCATCGAGAAAGAAACTCGCCAATTGAAACACGTCCCATTTTTTGGCGGGTCGGTTTGAGCAGTTTCTCGCGGCTTTAGGTTATTGGCAAAATTAAAATCTGTTTTCGCATGGGCTTGTTGCGCATGGAGTGATTCAACTTGGCCGTTGTCATGCTGGCTTGCACGAAGCGCACAAATCTGAAAATGTGTGACCCGTCCGAGTTTGTGCGCGACACGCATCATGGTTGGCCCATCGATGCTCTGCGTTCATGGATGTAGTCTGAGTGGACGTTGTCATGGTTGGACCATTCATGCTCTTCGGGAACGGATGGGGTCTGAGTGGACGTTGTCATGGTTGTCCCATGGATGCTCTGCGGGAACGGATGGAGTCTGAGTGGACGTGATCATGGCCCATGGATGCTCTGCGGGAACGGATGGAGTCTGAGTGGACGTTACCGTTATCATGGTTGGCCCATTCATGCTCGGCGTTCATGGATGGGAGTCTGAGTGAACGTTGTCATGGTTGGCGGATTCATGCTCTGCGGGAACGGATGGGGTCTGAGTGGACGCTATCATGGTTGGCATGTGGATGCTCTGCGCTCATGGATGGAGTCTGCGTGGACGTTATCAGTTATCATGGTTGGGCCATGGATTCCTGAATGTGTGGGATCGGATGGAGTTTGAGTGGACGTTATCGTTGCTAGGACTGTTAGGCCATAGATGGATGCTCTGCGCTGACGGAGCGGGCCTGTTACCCCCCACCCCCCTGCCCCTCCAAGTCCGAGTTTGTCGGCACAGCCGGTGTTTTCAAGGCCTGACAGGGCGAAAAGTGTGGGATCGGTTACATAGCAACAACAACAACCACAACCAGGGATGGGTTCCACTCGACGCCCCGAAACACCGTGCAATTCAAGAAACGCATGTGACTGGCACTGTGGTTTCGGCGCAGAGAGGCTCTACAAAAAACTGTGTTTTGGTACATGCATATGGTCATCCTTTGCATACCGGGGCATGGTAAGTGAGACACATAGCAATGCAAGACGAATATTTCTCACTGCGAGTGTGAGCTCGTACCAAAGAAGTATCCAAGGGCCTGTTCAGGCACATGGAAGTGTGTCTCCAGACATAGCTGAAAGCGTTGTTCCAGATAATCCAGGTGACACTTCAGAAAGTGACCACTTCTTTACTAGAAGACGAGTGAAATAAAAGGCAGTAGACCAAGGACGGAATTAGGCCCGCCCCCTCCCCCCACCACAACAAAAGCACCAAGCAAACTATGCACACTATCGCCTCGTCATCATGAAGCATCATATCATATCAGCACCGTCATCAGCAGCATCGTCATCATTGGCATCATCTCCACAAACAGTAACATCATCGCGATTCCGATCCTGAACGTCATCATCCCCCGTTAGGTTTTTTTGAGGTCCGACGAAGACAGCTTTGAGCAGCAGAAGAACATGCTGTAAATACCAAAGTTGTCCTCCTTTTCGACTACATCGTCAACCAGAAAATGCTTGAAATTAAAGCATCTGGAGGACCCCTCTCGTCTCTACCGCAGCCGCAACACGTAATCGTAGATGCCAACACACCGCAAATACCTGTGCCCGAAGCTGGACTTCCGACCCTCCCGAACCAATCTGGGCAGAAGGTGCCCACCTTTCGGGGCGGCGAGTAGTGCTCATGTCAACAACAACGACAACGACAACAACATCAACACTAACATAATACACTCATGCTAACGGCGGGCCGACGATCCCGATCTTGCAGTCACGAACCCTGACTGTCTCACTCTACGAACAAGAAACCACACTGCTTGACAGCAGGTGCCTTGCAAAGAAACGGTGGTAGCCTGTGTGCAAGGCGCCGGAGACCAGCGCCAGCGACCTCAGCAGTCAACTTGCCAACTAGCCCGTCTGATGCCTAGAATCCGGTCGCAACCGGCTGAAGCCCCTGCCGCGCCCAAGGAGTAAGCACCGACGAGCAGTCCGAAAGCTTTGACACAGCCACGGCCTGCATGCCTTCATGATGACATTTCATGGGCTCGCTTGCGTGTGATACGTGTGGAAAGCCCGCAGAACAGTCCATCTCAGTGTGATTGCCGTGGCCTCTCTGCCCTTGCCACAGCAACCTGCGCCACAAGCATGGGCTGGCCAAAAAGGCCACCGAGATGCCTGGCACTGGCAAGCAGTACTTGGGGGATGTAGGGAGAGTTGTAACAGGTGCACTGAATGCACTGTGCCGTGGCGTGCCAGGCCAGTAGCCGCTCGTTGCATTCCTCCAGAAGCGCCAAAAACCTCAAAGAACCAAGTTAGCATCTCTTCGGGCATCTCTTTCGCTATTTTTATTTAATATTTCAACCGGCCGACCCCACCACAGAACGCCTTCGGAATACGTGCAATTGGACAGTTCGACTGGCTTGCCAAAGATGGAAACGGCGGCCTAGAAGCGTTGTGCAAGAGTGCCTTTTCCAGGTGCGCACCTTTGGGTAAGGTGTACAGCTGTGGATTGTAGAGGTAGACATGGGCACCCACTTCTTGCGAGACTCGTCTGCGGGGAGCCCTGCAACGTACATGTTATTCCGACTCCGGATGATACCAACTTCGTCCCGGCTTGCAAACTTGCATGCAGGACTGCAGAGCATGATTCGGCAGACATCCAATTGATCCCGTGGACTCATGCTGCACTGAAAAACATTGAAAAACCCACGATCCTTCTCTCACGACTGCACTGCATTTCGCTCAGGCCCTTCCCCTTCCCAGGTCGCAGCTCCATCATTGGTAATCCGGCCGTGGCATGCCATGGCTCCAGGAATGGTCGCAGTTCGACTCCCTGCATCAATGCTTCAGTCTTGGTCGCCGGCCCTGGGAATAGCAGCAGCAATAGCGGCTGGGCCTTTCGAGAGCAGCAAGCAGGTGTGAGATGCTGAGCCTCTGGTACATGTGCTTGGCTCGTCACTGTCACAGCTTTCCTATCCGCGTGATTCGTCATGAGAAGTTCAACCTGAGGGCCCAGCGAAAGTGAGGCCAAGAGTCAGCCTGGGACGGCAGACGACGAGACGAGAGACACCAAACACTGGTAGCCTACAGCCAAAGCGCAAACAGCTCGAAATCTCCGATAGCGAGTGCTGTCCACTTCTATGCAGCACCCGAAGCCTCGAACGGATGAAAGTCAGGCGACTGCACGCCGAAGACGCCCAGCTGGGATCCGACACTGAGGGCCAGCGCTGGCGCAAGGACGTCCTCGGTTGTGCGCAGGGATTGGGGAAGTATGTCTACAGCTACCAGTACAATCCGAAGAAAGCCACGCAACAAAAAGAACGAAAATTGACTGCGGGGTCTCACAACCATGACATTCAACAGGTGCAGGCTGGCTTCCCATAGTGGCTCCAATGGCAGTAGGTCCTGAAAGAAAACTTGGTCATGATTGAAAGCGGGAAGCTAATTTATCTGCAGGTTTTCCGATCATGCCCTCGTCGTGCAGGTGCTGTCGCCAGCAAGATATTTCCCAAGTCTTGCTATGAATGCGTGGCCCACAACGGACAGCATGGTCAGTACGGCTCGTGCTCAGTCGCACTGACGCAATGTTGGCAAGTCGTGTTACAGTGAGGGTGCAAGCTCACTGTCCGAGGCAGCTCCACCCCTGGGCTGCCCAGTGCGTGCAGACTGCACACGGACGAGAGGGCAATCGCCAGGGTCAAAACACAACTCACCTGCTCCGTTCTTGTGGAGTGTATTTCGCGGCTGATGCGGCCGAATGTATGTCTGTCATCTGCCAGGCACAGACACCTCGTAGGCCTTCTTGCGATATCAAAACGGCTTTTAGCTACGTCTTGATGCAAGTCGATTGCACATGCATGCTACGCACCCCTTTCCAAACCAACCAGGGACCTAGACTTGTCGTCCATCCCCGCCCTCTGAAGATCGTGACGACGCCAGCCCATGTGGAATCAACAAGTCTTGCACCGAGGCTTTCTGACTAATTTGCACTGGGAAGCATTACACTTGTCTCGCATTCAACTATGTCTACATGTAGCCTTGCATTAACAGGTAGTAAACGCCACCGGCCCTCCACATGAACATCCGAGATGCTAGTCCGTGGCTACCAGTAGAAGACTGCACAGCACTGGAAACTTAACGACATCCAGCACCCTGCTCCTGCAATGCATCGCCGTGCAGCACACGGCTAGGGAGGCCTGCCTTCGACAAATGCGAGGCGTCCGAGGGCACCATCAAAGTAGTTGCAGTTAAACTGTTACACTGCTCTCTCAAAGACAAGAAGGGAGGGACTTCCGCAACTTCCTGGTGTCTACAGACGTTCGCATGCAGAGCCACGAGTCTTCGAATACCACAGCAGCTCCTGAATGTACGACCAACAGGTCATCACAACTCTTCATCGCAATGATGGGACCTGTTCTAGGTTTGCAAGTGCTTCAGTGTTTGCCGAAGCCTCAGCCATCGCACCTTCGAGGGGCCTGGCAGGAACTGCTACGGTTGATGACATAAATCCTGCATTACCCATAATAAGGAATATACCACAATTCCCATAGTTTAGGGTCCTTAAGGTCATGCAGGATTTTTATCATCAACAGTAGTTCCACAAACCAATCTACTGAACTCAATCGCTCTTTCATTCAGGCTGCTAACTGATGATCATGCAAGCCTCGAGCATATTCGAGCATGCGTCCGTGCTGAACTCCCTGCATTGCAGCCAACCGTGCACATGAGTGTGGTTGCCGGATGGGCGATGTAGAGATACAAAGGGAAGAGGGAGAGACGGAGAACAGACAAGCAAACAAAGAGACAAGACGGAGCACGTGAACGGCAAACAACGCTTCGACCGCTCGGTTGGCATGTGCCACGTGCTGAGCTCGGTGCCCAGACCACGCCAGGTGGGAAGCTGTGCTCCAGCAAAGAACCTTGCTTGTGACAAGTCTCCACATGCAGAGCAGGTCTATGCAGTCTATGCAAGACATATTCGAAGAAATGCCATCTCAGAGAGTGAACTCACTTCTGCTCTTCGTCAGTCACGAAGCCTTAGCATGCCTTGGCGTCCTGAGGAACCCGGCCATGGCAATGATCAGATGCGTCTCTCGACTGGCTGATGATCCATCCTGCTCCCCATAGAATGCTTGTCAGGTTGGGGCATTTACTCAGACTATTCGTGTGGAGACGCTGTTGAAGCAATTTTCCATACTGTGGAAACTTGACACTAGCGGTGGGGCGGATCCAGAGAGGAGGAACGATCTTTACGAAGCAGAGCGAGGGCCCATGAATATGGGGACGGGATGTGACAAGACAGCAATTCGCTTCCACTGCGGACTTGCACCGTCTCCATGTTGATGGCTCCAAAAGTTTCAAGATGTCGCCGTCTACTGAGCTTTGCCTGGCCTTGTAAGTTTTGCAAACCGGCGCTACACTAAAGCACTGCTGCCCTCGAACTGTGCGACCGTCGGACATGTCCTTCCAGATCCAGCCCCACAACCACACAACTGCAGCGGATAGCATGCCCATGGCCAGGGTCCTGAGCAGGGGCAGGTCCTGTGAGTTTTGCAACCACCACTGCTGGGGCTCGGGGTCGTACGTCCAGCTCTTCAGTCACATGAGTCATGTCTCAACTGGTAGAGCAGAAATCTTTCGATGCGGCCACGGGCCATGAGCGGACTCAATGTAGCCCTAGCCCCCCTGAATCAGCGAAACCCTGGACATACCGGATCAACCAGAGAAGTTTGAAAACACGGAATCTGGGCACCATCAAGACACAGGGCCACCTCGCCAACACCACAGCCAGACAGAACTGCAAGAGAACAACGACAGCTCAGCGACAGCAAGCAGAACTGCGACCAGCGGCTTCGCCTCGGTGGCTCGGGGCAGCACGGGCGGGCAAAATCGGAACAGCGTAGGCCCCAGCCCCTTTCCTCTTTCTTTGAGCCCATGGCAAAAAGGGCATATAAAGGGGGCATTCAGAGATGCATTCAGCCTGAAGCGCCAACATACTCGCCAGGACATAGACGGAACTTTTCTGCCGAACGAAACACTCCCCATGCACTAATAAGAAGCATCGCTTTGCATGCATTCAGTGAACAGGGACATCCTGCCGGACTTTGAGAAGGCTGAAGGGATCTGAAGGGCTTACCACGGCAGAGGTCCAACGAATTAGGCGCCCAAGGCCAAGGCAGGGGAAACTTCGGTTCCGAGAGGCCGGCGCCGCTTTGACTGGGCCCTAGGCGAATCTACGGGCTGCTCAGGGCTCCTCAGCGGTAGCCCGAGACCGAGACGCACGCCTCCCAGGCACTCTCCCAAGCAGCATTGCATATCATTGCATTGTCATTGCATTGCAGTGCAGGTCAGAGCAGTCAGGTTCGGCGCCTGCTGCATCACGACAGCCGACGGGGCCTGTGCCGGTGCCTGTGCTACCTGGATGGGGCGCGGTGCGACCACACGGTTCCCGGCAGGGGCGGCCTTGGCGAAGAATCGAAGACATACAGGCGAACGCACACGTTGTGAGGTGAGACATTCTGGGCATTTGGCGAGAGAGGCCGGAGCCGATGGCAGCAGCCCAGATGGCAGAAGCCTGGCAACGTGGCAAAGTCTTCAACAAGCTAATGTGATTCCTTGAAGGAGCATTGTGAATTCAGCTCCTTTTCGATTCAAAAACAAGAGATCTGACGTATCGTGCTGCTCCGTTCCCTAAGGTTTAGGCGGGGTTTAGGATAGTCAAACTCCAGGTTGGTAATTTGGTGCGCTTCTCCATCCTGCCTGCAGAAAGTACTGCAAGAGTTGACATGTTTCAGGACTTTTCAGGGCACGCTTAAGCATTGCTTGTTAAGGCTCTAGTTTTACGATCGCGTAAGGCATCTTGGATGCTGGCTGAGGGACTTCCACAAGTCGATGCGCATGTGTTGAAGCCTTGTTGCAAAGAGTCCTGTATTAGTTTGGAGATATCTCAACTCGGGTTGGAAAGAGATTCTAGCTAAAGTGCCTCAGCTACAGCACCTCAATCACCAGAGCTACCCATAAGTCTCCACTGTAGGAGGGTTTCGTGCTGCGAGTTCGAGACTTGGCGTTAAGACTTTGGCGACTGGTCCCGACTCCCAATTTGAACGCCGAAGAAACCCGTTCTAAGCAAGCATCTAACAAACATACTGAGCGCCCTTTACGTACATGCATTTACACCAGTCCAGACAGTCAGGCCGGGCTCACCCGCGAGCGGCGAAATGGTGAGCGTACCCATTTCCACACGCCACCTGAAGAACGTTGATGCTGTTGGTTTCTCAACTTCCGCCTGCCCTCACCATGTACGGTGAACAGGTCGAATAACACTACTCTTAGCTCTGGTCGCTTTGATGAACCAGCCACACCTTATCGGGGTTTCGTCTTTTGCGAACAACCTACTCCTTTCTCCGGCTGGAGTTGTCACCCTGCGACCACTCTCATTTTAGAAACCAGTGAACTCTGCTTTGGATTTGAAGCTTCAGATTATTCTGTAACAATATGCAAAAAGCAGAGGTCGTACTTTAAACGTTGGCGCGAACTCGTCAACCTCTCTGTCAAAAACGTGTGTGTGCATATAGTGAGTGTGTGTGTGTATATATATATATATTGATGAAGACATATGTATAAATAGATATGTATGTATGTCCCTTCAATCAAGCGAAGAGAATGGACGCTTGGACTCTTGGATTCGCCAGCTGTGACCCTCATTGAAATCGATTAAGCCATTGCCTGCACAGGCCCGGCAGCGAAGGCCTGCAAGAAAAACTCACGGCGCAAATGTCACACACGGGCTTTCAAATTTCGGACATTTCTTGCGTACCCATCAACCCCCCCACGGAAGCTTCTGCCTGCGACTGGGGTGCTGGGGCCGAAGGTAGTCGTGTCACCTGCAGCTCACACCGTCGAGGCCGTTGCGAAACTTGCAGCGAGTACTGGCTTGAAGCCCGGAGGAGGTGATTGAAAAACGAGATCAGCTCAAAAGTAGTCCACGCTATTACATAAGGTCTGTGATGTCGGAAAGTTTGCATTGAAGGATGCATTCGGCACTCGGTCATGGCAGATCTCGAGTTTGCTGGCTCTTGGACAGTGCACTATGCTTGCCCACTCCAGCCCGGTTCCTGCCTGGTGCGGGAGCACCTGAGCGAGAGTAAGCAAAAGCTGATCGAATCATTGCCGGATGTTAACCTTCTGGCCTGCTCTTTCCCACTCGTTCAACAGTATGGAGGCTGACAGGAGTTATGTTGGACTGCTATACTATTCCGGCACGAACCAGTGGTACGGAAGACCGCGCATCTAGATGAACGAACGGCTGAAAGATGCCATTCAGGGTTGCTTCCCCCAGCTCCCCCCCTTGTAAGCCACCAATGATCCTTCTGTGTAGCCCGTGCTTCGAGGTCAAAGTCTACGAACGGAAGAAGGGCACTGGAAGCCCCACTCTCACATCTTGGGCGTCTCTCTCTTGTCGTGTCAGATGTGCAGCCCTGGACTCCTTCCTGGACTCAGATCTGACTTCCACATCTCTGCTCTGTCACAGTCATCCCATTGCTGCATCCAATGTGGGTAGCCTTTAAGCTAGCTGAAACAAGCATGAGCTGAAGATGGCATCGCTGCCTCTTCGGCATCAACCACAAGAGTTCGCGAAGCCCCGTGCTGAGAGAAAAACAAAGTAAAGTTCAGTGCTAGTGAACCCATCGCAATAGTCAGGAACACTAGCCGAGTTACTAGAAAACAATATTGGCTGCCAAAGGAGTAACCGGTTGGCGTGCGCCTGCACACCCTGGCATCTACGTATGCCAATTTGTCTGGCAAGCATCTGTGTTCCTGATGGCATGTACAAGTAAGAGGCGGACCAACGGCACGTGGGTGTTCTTCTGCAGCACACGAATCCCACAGCACGCAGAACAGCCGAGAAAACACATGTTCCAGCTTCGGTGTGGTGCTGTGCTTGCACGGAGTACAAAGGCTAAAGATCATAGCCACACGATGCAGTCGCACTAGAGTCACTTGCGAGCTTGGCCCAGATTGCAATCTCGAGCCTGGAGGCTTTGCAAAGATCTGCAGGGGTGCGGTCCGGCCAGGACGGGTGCCGGCGCCTGCAAAAGGAGAACGTCACGAGTTTGAATAGCGACAAGCGATACTCTCAAACTCAACTCATGCAGCTGCAATCGCAAAGTCGACCAGTCCAAATCGTCAGAATAGCGACACCGGCAGGCCTCCATTTCGTCCACAGGCGCACGCGGAACCTGGCGCAAATGCAAACGTGCACCACAGCAGGAACAGCAAGACCCCTCAGGTGTGGCTCTAAGGCGGCCGCAGAAACAACGATCTCCACTGGCTTCTCCGATATCCTGTTCAGGACACCGCTGTGGGGCCCCAAACGACATTAGTCAGCTTTGCACATGTGAGGATTGTCCCAAGCGTTCGCGGGGGGTTGGAAGGGCAGAATTGAGCCCAAGTTCGCCAACAGCTGACTCTCTGTGAACCACGGCTGAACGTTGCCATGAGACTTTGGCACTTGTGATACAAACTCAGAAACATCAAACACTGCAAGTAGAAGTCACAGGTCACGAGGTCAAGACTATCTAGCAAGATTTAGTGGCTACAGTCGCTGGGGAGAGGCTGCGAACATGACACGCAGCACGGTCAAAACATGCGCTACAACACCAAAGTATGCAAGGCCTTAAGACTTCATAAGTTGCAAGAATATTGCACAGTGGGGCCATTGCAGCGTTCCGCTCGGCAGTTAAGCAGCGAACATATTGGACGACCCTATTGCAGTATTTTGCCACGGCATTTGGTCTTCGTTGTCGTTGTTCTTGCTGCTGTTGCGACGGATAACAACTTGAGACCCTGAATTGTAGATACTGTGGTTAACGTGATCCGCTGCACACATCTTCGGCCGATCCATAAGTTGTTCAGTCAGATTCTTAGGCAATGCAGCCCGCGGCTTCGATGTTGGCGATTCATGACCGTATTGGCGTATGGGGTCAGACAGTCCGAAGACAAACCCGAGGTTTGTGATTGAGGCTTGACAAGATTCATTCTGCATGTCTGTCCCTCTGGCTCCTACTCTCTGGGCCTTGCCGGCGGGGGGGCCGCAGCTGGCACTGAGGCCATGCTGGCCTCAGCCGAATGTGGGAGAATCTGCAAGTATGTAAAAGCTTCCAAAGACTAGATGCCTCAACCAAAGTATGTTGAGGCGTGTAACGAATGGCAGGGACACATGGTTGTGATGTGCCCGTGTGAAGTTCGTGTTTTGTCATGACGCTCATGACGCCATCGCGGCGCTTCTGCCGCATGCAGTCGGAAACATGGCTATGCGCTTCATAGAACCTGCTGGGCCACATCTATATAAGCCACTGACCAAAGGCTGGGTAGACCGGAAGTTGTTGCCTCAAGCCGTTCTTGACTACCACGGCTGTTCTGGCATTGTAATGACCAAACAATGAGGCAGTGACTTGTTCCGTGGTGTTTGGTCCAGCTTTAGATTGAGTCAAGGCACAGTTGAAGTCTGGACCAGGAAACATGTCGCCTCAGGGGCAAGCACGCTAGTAGTCAGTCCACGTGCATGCCTTGAAGCTTTGGTGTCACGGCAGTTTGTGTGTGTGTGTGTTGTGTGTTGTGTGTGTGTGTGTGTTTGGGGGTTGTGTTTGTGTGTGTGTGTGTGTTGTGCGTG